ATCAATGACATTGATTTTTTTTTTAAAATCCAGTGCATCTCTTACGCCTTCCGTCTCATCTTCAGAATTGTCAAACTCTGGAGTTGTGCTTCATCCTCACTGCCTAGCGTATAGCCCATAATAACATTTTTATTTGAAATGCTTTGGTTTTCTTTTGGCATATCCTGCTATCATTGATCAAGATGGGCAGTGGGTACCGGCATGAACCAGACTTCATGTCTGTGTCTTATTGCAGTGGAAAGTCTAGTTTAAAGGCAGAACGGAAGCTAAGGACTTAATTTCACACATGTTTTAAAATGAGTGAAACTGAAGTTAAGTGTCCGAACGGCCAAATTCTGTTTGAGCCCCTAAGACAGATTGGCAGAGGTTTGAAAGTGGGTTAGCCACATGATGAATTGAGCACTTTGTAACTGGTCAGCAATATGTATAAACAATATAGTCTGTAAGTAAAATTTCCTGTGTCAAAACTTGTGTACCCAATGGATTTTTTTTTTCTTTGCAGAACTTTCTACGGGTTTGATTACGCACTTGCAGCTGGGAACAAAAATCATGGCAAAAAAGGTGATGCATCCGTTTGCAAATTAGTAAAATCCCATTTTCTACAGTCTTGCAAGATTGCATACTAAATGATGTTATTTGTAATGGGATTTCTTTGGCTGCTCTGGGATAAGCAAATCTGAAGTCTTGGAATTCATGCTATTAGTCTTGGATTTCCGTTTGCTTTCGTGCTCTATGCAGTTTGTTTTTGCTTTTGTTGCTGCTATGCCTTTTCGTCTGGCTGTTAGAAAATGCCAAGTGGTGTCTGAGTATGTCCATCGAATAAATGCTGCTGCCATTCTTAAGTGGCATGCTGAACAGCCTTTGAAGACAAAGTAATTCCTGGCCTGCAGATGCGGCACAATGCTCTGGTCGTGGTGATTGTAAGATTTTTAACCTTTTGTTCATTTGTCCTCAGCCCACATCGGCTGTGCCCAAGACCATAGTGGAAGAACACCTTGCCAGTGAGGGAGCAGACAGTGATAACTGCAGTGCCAGCCTCTCAAGCTTCCTGGAGAATGAAAAACTGATGTCTCTGGATAGCATGAACAGCGACAGCATGGGTATGCCGTGGTGTTCCTCGGTTATAACTTTTTTTTTTTCCCCGCTGGACAAAAGCTGATGTCGGCGAATGGTAGAAGTTATCTTTTCAGATATTGGTGAAAATGTCTTTCTGAAAGCGGGTCGATTTTTGAGTACGATGTCAGTCTCCTGTCTGAAGACAAAAACGAAACTGAAGTGAATGCAGGATGACCTCGAACCCTGAGTTTCGTGTTGGAGTACAGGGGGTGTGTGGCTTCTGGGCGGTCTGTCAACGGGTTTGTGATGACTTTTCTTTTTTCCCCTCAGATGATGATGACATTGATGTGGCTGAACTTCCTGACAGTGAGCTGGAGCAGTACTTCAAGACATTGGTTCCTCCAGCTATGCAGAGAGGACAAGTGGAAGGGCAAGAGATCCCTGCAGCAGTGAGTAAACATCATATTTCTTGGAGCACTGAGTCATTAGCGAAGACCTTGGGTGGAATGGAATGATTGTTCTGCTTCTTTGGAGCACTGGGCTTCCCATGCTGAATAGGAATAAGGGACTCCTATAAATTGCTCTGTTTGGCTGCATTGAAGCAATTATGATTGCTTTTAATGACAAAAGTAAAACATTAAAAACTACTGTTTTTTCACCATTTGTTGAAAATGTGTTGTTCAAAGGACCCAATTTTCTAAAATGAAGAAATAAAAGGGTAACGTATTGCCAAAATTGATTGAAGTTCAAAACGCGGACATTTTATTAATCTTATTTTGTTCCTGTTACGCACTTTGTACATTTTAGGAACTTAACGGAAATCAAGAAAATGAGTCTCTCCCAAGTTCACCTGATCAAGAAAAGAATCGCTGTCAGTTTCTTGACGATTATGAGCAGGTATTTGCCCAATAAGTTACAAATCATTGGAAATCTGTGCTTTGCCCACTAGTAGTTAATTGAATCACTCTTATCCAGTCAGGTCTTGAAACAAGCACAAGAAACAAAACCCTTCCTTATAGTTCCAAGAAGACAAGAACGTTTGGAAATTGGGATAAGTTAATTGGGTTTTTAAACTGGTTGCAGTTTAGTTTTTGGTCCAATTGGATCTCCTCACGTGCTCAAAAGCCATGTGCAAAACCTTGTGTAAATGGAACTGATTTTAATGGTTTCTTCCAGTGGAATTGTGTAGTCAGATGTCCACCCCAGTGCGTGACTTCCCTGGAAGATCCTGTGATATGCTCGGGAGTTAATTCTGAATTGAATGAAGGCCTCCCATCCAAACCTTTCAGTAACAATTAAACAAAATAAGAACGTTTAGAATAACTACAAATGAGAGGAGGTCCTTCTGCCATCATCATCATGGTTTGTTTTCAATAACTGAATGACCTAAGGGTCTCATCCACTTGTAAAGAATACAAATCTTCCAACAGCTTTTTTCTTTTAATTTGCCATCGTTTGTTGTTTCAAGGATGATTTTCAGATGCCCCATATCCGATTGGCAGCTACAGGTATGGACTCCTGTCCTGCCAGTGATGAAGAGGACACGGAAGATGAGCTGGAGGCTGCCCTGCGGTGTAGTGCCCCAAGACGGGCATTCCTGTTATCCAGCACTACCAGACAGCTGGTATGTAATGCGAAGACGGGACATTTCAGTCTCGTATCAATAGAACAGTTAAGGATTGCTTGCTTTAGTAGGATGTTGGGTAGTTCTGTTTTTAAGTGTTGCTGAAGCTTGGTTTCTGTTGATTTGATGCACAAGACAGTTTACTTCTTTGTACAGAAACAAAAGGTAACTTGGCTCAATGGCACTTAAAATGTACGAGCACACATATAGCACAGTTCACATTTTGGAGGTTTCGGTCTCAATTCCTCTTGAGTTGGTACTGTTGCCCTGACTCTAGGGGAATCATTGTCCTGCGTTTCAGCAAGAAGAATCACATGGCATTGATTCAAACCCTTAGGGGGGTGGTTGTGGTGGTGGTTTCAGGCCCGTTCTTGAGTTTCAGGGGTTCAGGATGCACCAGCTGTGATGTGTATTTATTCCAGGTTGGTGAAAGCAATCATCCAAGCTTCAGGCCTGGTTTGGAAGGGGGAAGCTCTGATGATGATGAAACCCCCGTCAGAGCAGGAAATCTGGCCACGAACTCCGGGATTGAGTTCAGGCGCTCGGCTGAGGGTCAGGTCATCAGCTCACCAGTTACAGGTACAGTAAAATGTCTGGTTTAGAAAAAAACCTCAGTGCTAGGACCTCCCTAGTGGATCATTGATGCACATAGAGCTCTGTGATCACGGGTTTGGGCCTGGGTCATGTCACTAGACGGCTCGGGCTTCGATTTCTCAAGCAGCTGTACACAGTTGGCTGAGCATCACCTAGGAGCAGTGTGGGATTAATTGGCCTTGGCTCATGGTGAGGCAGCCACTTCTGTGGTCTCCCAGGAACTCCCGGGTGTGCTGTGCTGTCAGTGAATATCGCGCCTCACCTCCTGTATGGGGCTCTGTTGCTGGTGGCCGGAGTCGTCAGTCTTCACCTCCTCGTTCTTCCCCTTGCCCAGGTGTTATCGTAACTAAGCAGAGACACGAAAATACTGGTTGAGTTGACTTTTCCAAATTGGGAGGGTATAACAAAACTGGCAATTCTGAGTATTTTTCATAGAAGCTTTTAACATGTTCCGGCAGAGACCTTTAGGGTTTATAAGAGTCGACGGTGAAAGCGATATTGACGTAAATCCAGCCTCTAGTTTCCTTCAGGTATCTGATGAGTAATTCCAGCAGGTGGTCTCATTTGTTATTTTGTGGCTTTGTTCTGGACACCGGGACAGGTGGAGGAGGAGATGGGAGCAGTGGAAGTGACAAGGAGGGCAGTGATGGTGGCGTGTCGACCGTCCCCTTGTTCTCCAATAACGCGCAGACTTCCTCTTACGACGTGCTGCGGGGCCTGGGGATCGTGGGTGGGAACGGCGCCGAAGATGAGGCGGACGACGAGCCTCTGCCCTCGCAGCTGGCGAGCGGAGAATTGGTCCCAAGACACAGTGAGGTACGAAACTCTTCTCTTCGTAGCCTTCGTGATAATTGTCACGGGGAAGAACGTCAAGAAATGTAGGTGCTGGATTGGATTAATGCCGTGTGAACTTGAGCATTTTAGCTTGTATAAACAAAAGTTTATCAGTTGCTTCGATTGTGTAACGAGGACAGCGGCTTCCCTTATCCTGTGAAAAGAGCCCGAAAGGTCACTTGAAGTTCTCTCTTGAGGAGGCTGAGAAAGCATCCAGCAGCAACCGTAGTAATGGGCCTCTTTGAGGACAGAGGAGTTCATGTCCTTTCCCAGACAGGCCTTTCACTGTTTTCGCATAGTTTTGTGTTTAATTCCTCTACTGACCATCGTGTCAACGCAGCTTCTCTCTGGATGTACCGGGCCTCGTTTTCTTCTTCAGTGTTTTCAGGCTTTTTAATGAGTTTTTTTTGGTTCTCTGCTCAGCCACAAATGTTGAAGGGTTTTTTCTGGGCACTGGGATGGTTTGATTATGCGTTTCAGATGGGTGATCGTGTGGGTCCGGTAGGAACGGGAGAAGCTGGGTCTTCCACCACTGGGCTGGTGCTTTCGGCTGCATTTCCGTTTCAGAGGACCACATCTCTAGACCGACAGGAAGCCTTGGTAAACCCATGAGCATTACCTTTCTTGGAAATATCTGAAGATCTGGCTTTTTTTTTTAATGCTTTATTTACTTCGTCACTCTTCAGCCTTTATTAGCCAGCTGAAATTTATTTTCGAAGCATTTATAAAACTTGAGCAAAGCCAAAACTGTACATGTGACTCAGTCCTTTTATTTAGCGTAGCCCTCTTCTGCGTGCTTTTCTTTAGAGCGCGTGAAACCTGTTTCTTGCTTAACACCTCCGTTTCAGTTTTTATTTTGCGTTGCAGGTTGCTTTACATCTAGAAATGATCATTTTCTCCTCCTTTAAAATGTTTTGCGGCCGCCTTGACTAGAAAAGCTGTTGAGTCGGTGACGTGTTTTTCATGTTGCCCGGCTCTTTCTGAGGGTGCTCTGAACTGTGTTTTGGAGGGTGCCATGGACAGCGCGGAGGCCGCCGCGCTCGCCAATGGGAACCTGGACTCGCTGTACCTGAGGATTGCCCCCCGACCTTCCGTGCCGCCCGACCAATCGGACACCTTCCTCGAGGAGGCCCCCGGCAGCTTCCACCTCTCCCAGGTGGTGGTGCCTCCGCACGGCGCTGAGGGCGAGGCGCTGGGGCTCCGGGGGGGGCCCTGCGGGGACTCGCCGGCCCCCGAGCCCCGGACGGACAGCCCCAGCGAGGAGGAGGAGGAGCACCTCCCCGCTGCCGGGTGCCGGCCCTCCCTGGAGGCCAAGTACTTGTCCCAGACCTTCCCGATGGAAGACTCCGACGATGGCTGGAGCAACTGCCCTGACAGCACGGCCCCCGACCTAAATCCCGGTGAGTGCATTTTGAATCGCAATAAAGGTAAAATGTGCACAGTCACGTGTAAAACATTACTCCAATTTGCATCACGAAATAGACTAGCTTTCCAGGTATGCGCAGTGCCATGTTCTGCGATTCAGAACTAGGCAACAAAACGTCTGGTGGTGACGTGTGTGTGGCCCTATGACACTGTAAACAAGCCAGCTTGTGAATACATCTCTTTTAACCCAATAGAAATTGTTTTTGTTCTCGATGCCCTTTTACAGCGAAATACTGCTTGTTTACTCCCCACGCAGATGCCATTGAAACATTTCTTTATTGAAATGCTTGGTCCACAGCCAGTATTTATGCGCTCCTGCATTACGGTGACTGGTGAGCAGGAAGGCCTGCTTCACGTTGAAATTCAAGGGAACTCGAATGCGAGTTTGCGACATGATGACTTTAAAAAATCGATCTGTAAAATTGGGACCTCAGGTGCCCTTTCAAAGCTTTTGCTGCTGCTCTGTCAGGTTTCACAGGGCTCTTTTGAGCCGTTTTCCGTCGTTTTTTAAGCTACGTAGAAGATGAAGAAAAGCCCCGGTATTTCTCTTGTTTCAGAGGGAAATGAGAAGCATGATGTAGTCTACCAGAACGAGGAAGGGAAATGGGTGACCGATTTGGCATATTACTCCTGTTTTGAGAAGGAGCTGGAGGCTAACGGACTAGAAAATGCTGCTGAACAGTTTCAGACTGAAGACTTCATCTCGGCCAGTAAGCAGAGACCATCTGTGCAAAAAACAGGATTTGATAAAATAATTGAACTCGGCTACAATCATGTTCGCATATGATGTGTAATTATAGGTGTGCTATGTGTGTCATGGTGCTATTACTTAACATAATGGTTTTAATGCAGTGTGTGGCACACGTGGTTTAATAGATCATAGTGTTTCATTGTTTTATAGGAATGTGTGCAATAAGAAGTGTTGACAGCTTATTTAGTGCCACCATTGTTCTTTTTAAAGAAAAGGTATCTGGATTTTTTAGAGCATGTTAGAAATAAGATCATGTCTGTTCTTGCACCTGCAGACTGAGCCTTTGAAATCCACTTAAAGGTTATTTTTTTGAGTGTGCCAGGCAAAAATCTGTTGCCATACTTTCTTCAGATGTCTTAATCTTGTGTTTTGCCTGTTTTCCAGGCAATGCTCTTGAAAAAATTGCTGAAGCTGAAGAGGAATTTGAAAAGGAGCACCGTTTCATGCAGGTGGGACTTCTCGTGCGCTAGGCGTGACTGCACTGAGTTGAAGCGTTGAGGTTGAAGGTTGGTTGAACTCTAGAAATAAAACCAGCCCAGAAGACACTGGTCTTCTTCATGCTGTGGATAAATTTCCCTTTAATGTGAAGGCTGGCTCTGTGCCATACTGCTCAAGTTGTGCTTCCATTTCTTTTGCACTTGAATTCATATCTAAATTCAGATGTGTGTGTGTGTAACTCTGTCTTTATATGTAATATTAAAGGAAGAGCAGATGGTGGCCCAGAGCGCAAGTCTTGGGCTGGGAGACACTTCCTGGAGGCTTCCTTCCAGAAACTCCATACTCATGCGAGCTTCGCAGGTCTCCTCCGAGTTCGAGCACAGCAATCAGAGCTACCTGCGTCTGTCCTTGGGTCAGTTCTTCGGACAGAGGTCCGAGGCTCTGGGGTGCCTGGGAGTTGAAGGTCAGGACGACGTGAAACGGGTCAGTGGCCTTTCCTCGTCTGTTTTACCTTGACCGCTAAAAACATTGGTTTGACAACATGTGGAGGCAGTGTTATGCTAGGTCCTGGAAAAACCTTTTGAGTGTTTGAATGTAAAACCCATAAAATCTCTTCTGTGAGATGTACCTCGTCGGGTGTGTAGTATTAAGAAGGTCTTGGAACATCATAATGTTTGGTATGTCTTTCGGATCGGTCTTCTGTGCCCATTTCTTGAATTCTTTTGTTATTGAAGAGTGGGGTTGATGGAAATAGTGACGCGTTCTTTTCTCACAGCCTTCGTTTGGTTACGTCATCACCTCTCCGGAAAAGAGGGAGCCTTTTGCACTGATCAGGCCCTCCGGTTTCTCCTCCCAAGGCAGCCCAGGGTCTGACGATGCTCTGACCTTCAGCGACGCGGACGAAACCATGAACCCAGGTGTGTGAGAATGGACAAATTCCTTTTAATGATAGGAATGGTATTATGATGGAAAAACTGTTTTAATGTGTTCATGCTAATTTATGTGAATATTACATTGCTTCTAGGGTATAGTATGTTTATGTAAATTGTTTTTTCTCTTAATCGCACATAGAAGATCTGGACAGAACATTAGAAGCAGAGACGTCGGCAGCTGTACCTGAAGCAGAAGTTCGTAAGGAATCTCTTCAAAAGGACAATCAGGTTTGTTTTAGGAAAGGATAATTCTGTATTCAAAATGAAATTTTTGTTTGTGAAGTAATAGAATTCCTTGTGCACAGATGAAGAAAAAGCAATCTTAACTTGTCTCAATTACAAATCACAATGTTGGAAAAAACACATTTTAGTTTATGTAGAATTGTGATTTTTTTTTTTTATCCATCTTCTTAATTACCTGCCAAAAGAGCATCACTGTAAACGTTAGAATAAGACTTCTATGAGAATGTGACTTAAGTAGCTTTATTTTGTGCTGAGGCACCGTTCATTCATTTTCCTGCTTCTGGCACAGGGAAACCGAATGCACTGTCATTTCATAAAAGCATTTTTTTCTGATCTCTAAATCATGTCGTTTTTTTTTTTGTAACGATTCTCTGCTGCTGGTGAATTGATCAAAGTGTGCATAGGTACACTCCAATCAGTGGTTTCTTTTCCATCTTCAGGATCTGCAGCCTAACACCCCCAGTAATCAAAAAACGTGTAAAGGAAATGGAGGCTCTTCTCATGAAGACTTTATGCTGAGCATAAGCACCATTGCATCCGCAATAGCAGATGCCTCTGTCAGTTCCGATCCAGCGCAGCTTGCTGCCATGATAATGCAGCTGTCTAAGAAAAACCAGAGCAAGAAATCTCAGACAGGAGTGCAGGGGCGTGCTGTCCATTCTCAGTCGGAACAGAACAGCCTTCTCGAAGCTCTGCAGAAGAGTACCTCAGCTGGAGAGCTGAGTGTGTTGGACATTGAGAAGTACCTGAAGAAAACCGAGATTCCTGGTAGTGACACTGAAGCCGAGACGCGCTCGGTGTCCCCCTACAGCTTTGACTCTCCTGACTGGGCTGACGGCGCTGGTGTCCCGCTGACGCTCTGGGACTCTTTTCCCCCTGCGGACAGTGGGGGTGCTTCCAGGGTCAAGGAAGGCGTCTGCACGAGTGCCTGTGATGGAAAGGACAACACTGCTGATTGGGGAAGTAATGCAGACAATTCCAGCACTACCAAATTGTCAGTTCCTTCCCTTGGCGCGAGTGTGACCGGAAGCGCAGGCTCAGCCAGAAAAGAGATCGCACAAAGAAGTGCTCTCCCGAGACCAAAGACGAGCTATGCTCCTGTTGGTTCCTCTGCTGGGAGTGAGAGGTCTGTAAGCGCAGGGCATGCCTGTGGTACTGCAGTAGAAGGTATTCCTGCTTTTAATGTGGGTGGTTTGCAAAGGCCGATACGTGGCAGCACTGTAAAGAAGCCCGGCAATTCGGGGTTGATTAAGGACAATGGAAAAAGCGGCACAAAATTAGGCAAGGTTAGACCAAATGTTTCGAGCTCGGAGATGACGTCTCTTCAAGCCCTTGGCGCTAGCGGCCTGAAGGCAGAAGAGCCTGGCTGTGCACTTCCGGCTCCCAGATACCCGCCAGGCCAGCGGAGCCCGCCGTCCGGGCTGCCTTCCAACAAAAGCGCCAAAGCCGGTCCCCGGGGTCCGAGCGACGCAGGGGAAAGTCCTCCGAAGATGAAGACGGCGGTGAAGAGTCCAGCGGGGAAGGGGGGAGGTGGAGCAGAAAAGCGTGTCAGTTTTGTGGGCCCAAGTCCTTCTCCTGTGGCACCGTCGCAAAATAGAGATGGTAAGAATCGCTGTGTAGAACACTGAGTGCTTTTCTAATTGAGTTTTCCTGCACAATTTAAATTTCCTGTTGTGTATAAAACCTGGGCTATTGCCAGATTGCAGTACCAATGAACGCAGATGCTCTGTGAAAGTTATCCATTTTAAATAAGTTGTGAGATAAATAAGCAGCCTAATGTGACCCATAGAGGTGTTGGGGAAATTTACTTATACTTTCATCTGCAGGGGTTTTGTTTCAACTAATGGATTTACAAACTTTTTTATTGCTGATTGCTATTCATTCTTTTATGCTACTGCAGTGCTTAGAAGTCATGGTCCATTCTGTGTGTTCTTTATCTTGACTTGACCCAAAGAATTGCCCTGTTGCAGATGCTGTCCGCTCCAGATCCCCTGAGCAGCCTTCCAAGTGTCCCGAAGAGAGCCACATGACCTTCAGGCCCTCCACATCCCCTCTCACTCACTCTTCTCCCAGCCAGACCTCGTCACAGGGTGCTGAAGGGTAAATCACCTCACCCTCTTACAGAGCTAGTTTCTATCTGGTTTCTGGACCTGTTGCTTGTGGTAACATCCTCAGACAGTTTTGTTCTTATGGGTCAGGACCAATTATGAAAAGGGACTAACGGGGGTTGATTCAATTAAGAATAGAATTACCGTAAACATATCAATTGCTTGAATCTCAAATTAAAGGCAGTTTGCAGTTGAACGTTAAAACTTTAGGATATGAAAAATGTGCTTCAGGGTTAGAGGTGTATTGAGAGGGTGTACATTGTGATCTGCTTTAATCTCGTGTTTTTATGTTTAATTTGGTTACTGGATTTTCAAAGAAAACAAGGTAATATTATACAGTACAACATGCTGCTCTAATGTTGCTTGCATGAATGTGGCATTCAAGGCCAGGCTGCTAGGAAGATGCCTTTTCTGAGGATGACTCACAGAAAAGTAACGCAAGTATGCATTTTGACTCCATCTGAATGACCGTTGTTACCATGTCTTGTGGTGAGAAGAAACAAAACAAAAGTGATCTTTTTGGACATGCTCATTAGCATTGTGTTTAATATAAATCTCATTGCTACTGTGAAGTATAGGTTCGTGTCTGTTATGTTTTGGAGGTGTTTTGCTTCTTCAGGTCCTGGAGCCCTTTTTGAGATCGTACGAATCATGAAGTCCCACATATACTTGGACTTTTTAGCCAAACAGCCTTTTTCCTGTATTAATAAGCCTAAACTTTGCCAGCAATGGACATTCTAGCATGACCACTCTACAAATCAACAAAAAAAATGCTCAACTCTTACATTTTTAGGCTAGCCATCTAAATCTCTGGACTAATCCAATGAAACATCGGTGATTCAAAATCATGAGGGATGTTCATACCCTTTAGTTTGTGTTTGTGAAGTAACTTTAAAAACTCTGTCTGGAGGAATGGACAAAAATGCTAGAACCTCATAGCACACTAGAGGAGTCGTCTTTTCAGTGTGATCCCTACCAGAGGAGGATTTGCAAATTATTGAAAAAAGGGCCACATTTCCTTACAGCCCTGGGATTTGTTGACTTAATTAATGATAAATACATGTCTCAGTCCAATGCTACAAAGATAATGGTAATATTTAGAATTATGTGAAATTTTTGTTCCATCTTGTGCTGTTTAGAAAAAATCTGGGAGCCACAAGTGATTCCAAACTGCCAAAGCAGAGGCAGCGATATCGCCATTTTCAATTATATAACAGGGATAAAATAAGTCTCTGGTGTACCTTTCCTTTGCTAAGAACAAACTCCACCACACTTGCCTGCTGTGTATGGATTGAGAGCAAAAGGGCGTCGTCTAAATTAGAAATGCATAGATCTGCATGTTATTATTCCCTTAAGGACACATGCTTTAATGCTCCAAGCAAACCGTTCTTTCCACTTTGTTAATGCCTAAATGGGAACTGACAGGCATTACTTACATTGCACTTAATGCCTACTGAGCGAATGGTATTTAACAGACCAAACATGAATAAAGTATTAACAGACCTGTTCTAAATGGGTGGATTAGTCGGCCATCAACATGAGAGAGAATAATTGATTGAAAGAAAATGCCATGAGTAAAACCTTTACTATTAAGTAGTTAATTCATGAGCTCATTAGCCATAGGTCTGGTAAGGTGTACGAATAACTACTTCCTCCTTAGTTTTTGGAAAGCATTTTCTAAACTTCTTTGATGCACATTTGTAGGTTTTGTCAATTCCTTTTTTTAATGTGGTGAGGGGTACTTTGGTATTCTTGTCATCTGTAGCCTGTAAAATTTAAGTGTCATAACTGAGGTACTTCATGTAACTCCTACATCAGTTTAAAATATGTATGATAATGTAATATTATGAGACAACCACACTGGCGAAAACTGTGTGATACTGCCTGCTAAAACTCTCACAAAGGGTTGTCTGTCATCACAGAGGAAGAAAAGTCATGTGCACCCAGAAATGTGGACTTGAAAACCTGTTCTGTGAAATCGGGCCTTCCAGCACCGTAACTACTGATAAACTTTAATCTGTCAACTTGTTAAACTGAATCAATTTTCACATTAACAGTGAAGGGAAGGAGATTAAAATTTAAAGGTCATTGTAGTTTTGACAAAGTTTTACAAATGACAGTTTTTAAGATACCTGTATTCTGAAAATGCATCCATATAATTGGGGGTGTTTTTATTTTATTTTATTTTATTTTTTTTGGTTTGCATGCTGTGAGCATTGTGTATTCCTAAAGCAAACTAGCAGACATTCATGTGGCCATCTGCATTGGTCTTAAGAGGGAATACATTTGTGAAGTAATGGACCAATGTGTTGATTCATGCCAAGAAGATTTATGTATTGAAATAACCACAGGGCATCCTTGGGATAACTCCGTTATCTTGGCTTCACTTCAGCAGTGGCATTCTAATCAGAAGATTGATAATTCTGTCATTGATAGCTGCAGTCTGGTTATGATGTCTTTTTGTTTGCTAGTAACTACAACTCAAAAGCAATAAAATGCTTTGAGGATCTCATCTTTCATTTGTATAAAAAA